CTACATAATTTTTTTTTTACAAATATTGTCATTTTTTTTTTAAATTGCATTCTTTCCTTTTAAAATTCAAAAAAATACCTTTTTCAGACAAGCTTTTTGAAAAAAAATTTTAATTCCCTTGCTCATTTGGATAAAATTTTCCTTGTGAATTTCTAACGTTTTTCTCCTTATAAGGAAAAACATATACTTTTTATAATTTCTATACAATTCGTACAACAAGAAAGTTTTGAATCGTTCTTAGTAACACTATTATCATAAATAAATGTCGTCGTGTTGAAGTTTGCAAAATCAGACGAAGAATAAGAATAAAGAGCGTCTTTTCTTTGTGAGCGAGTCAAAATCGCAGGTGCAAAAGCACCAACTCACTTTTCTACGAGTAGGAAATGTTTACCTACGATGCCGTCAGTTCAAGTTGTATGTCCCATTCCATTTTTTCTTTTTTTTCAAGTTTTCACGCACACTTTCTGGAAAAGTTTCGTTTCTTACTGCCACTCGCGTTGGAAAAGCTAAGAGAGTGAAGAGAGACGTGTTAAAAAAAAGTAGTGTCGAGGAAGTTGGCGCGCTAAAAAAAGGGATGAAGAGAGGGGAAGGGATAAAGCTAGAAATAAGAGGGTGAGAAGGCGGCTTACTCTCAAGATTGAAAGTAAGTAAAGTAAGATCGGATACTTTGCCTCACGATGATACTATAGCCTACACCATTATATATATCCGTGAATTTTGATGCCATTCCCCCCTAAGGGATAGACGGCTCTCATCCCTATAGATCGAATTATATTCTATAACATTTTTTTACATTTTATTTAAATTTTACTTTATTAATTATTTCTCGAAATTTATATTTCGTTAGAATATTTATTTAAAAAAAAAAACAGAAATGTTTTACTAAAAAAAGTAGAAAAATTCTTTTTTCATTTTATTCTATTTGAATTTCGCGCCTAAAAATAAATAAAATAATGGGTATTTAAATTTCTTCTATTTTACCGGACTCGTTATCATTTTTTTCTAAATAATTTTTCAAAAAATATTTTTTCCAGTAATAATTTGATTTCAATGAAAAAAAATCCCCCTCCCCCTCTCAAATTAGTATACAGTTACGCGACTCATAAATTGGCGAGAAATGGGGTTTTCACAGTATATTGATATTCGGCTCCCCTGTATTCCCAAAATCCCCAAAGGCCAACTTCTTTCCTCTACCAGATCGTCTAGACGATAATCTTCTTCTTTAAATAAATATAGTTTCCGTTATTGAAATTTGGGTAAAATTATTTTCCTTATATATGAAAATAATTTTTATCTTCAATTTTTTTTTGTCTAGAAAGTGAACATTTATATTAGAAAAGAAAATACGTTTTAACAGTAATCTCTTAACTTGGAAAGAACCACTGAGATTTCAGAAAAAAAAGAAAGAAAAAAAGAAAAGTCATAGTTTTTAGAAATCGAGTTTTGAAAGAGATACGACTTTTTGTTTGGAGAAATAAAATAAAGTGAATCAAGTTACATTTTCCACTTGACTCCTTCGAAGAATGTAAATGGAAAATGTCCTCTCTTCTTATTTAATTTCGTGAAATTACTCTTTGCGTTTGAAATTTCTTTTCGCACTCTTCTTTTTTTAAATTAATTCCAAATTATTTTATTTCAATTCAGTTATTTTCAAAACACTTTATTGTTATTTCTTTTCACCTTTCGAATATTCGTATAAAAATTCCAATAAAAAAATTTCAATTTTTCACATAAAAATAATATAATTATTTTTCAAAAATCAATTAAACAAAATAAGTTATCTTTAAAAAAAAGAGAGGAAATGTTCTTCTTAATTCAGGTTTTGTAAAGGTTGCAAGATTAATCGACCTAGTTTTTAACATTTTCCTTTATTTTATCGCTCTATGTATTCCGAGATGAAAGGGACTTACTTGTCTATTGAGGATCGAATTGAACTCAAGACGTTAAGTCATGAAAAGCACAGTTTCTCTTAAAGGAAACTTGTACGTGAGATGAATCAATTTTTAAAATAATATTTTGTTGCATTCTCATTGCAAAAATTGCCCCAAGGATATTAATTAATTTATATTTTCAAAGATGAGGAAATTTCTTTTAAAAAATCAGATTAAACTCATTTTAATTTTTTAATTTAATGTCCATATTTTATACATAAAAAATGCGATGTCAAAATTTAAACACCAATCTTCAAAGTATTGCTAATATAAATTATATTGTTCGGTATATTTTTAAAAAATTTTATTGGAATATAAAATAATTATTAAAATTATTTAGTAATTAAAGAAATTTATATTTTTTTAAAATATTTTTTTTAGATATTTTATATATATAAAGCTAAAGGAAGCATCGAAAATATAAGGGACATGCACTACATGTACAGGCCATTTATTTGACTTACGGATATGAATATGAATTCACAGTTTGTGCTGCTGCCGACGTGAATAGTGTATTCGAGTTTTCGGTGGGCTTTTGCAAGAAGTTTTAGGAAATTTCATACTGAAGATAACGTATATATATGTAATCGTTATCAAGTCGAGATATTGAACGCAGTATTAGCAAATAATTCATTTTATAAAGTTGTGTATTGTAAATAATACGATATTGAAAACAATGACTTGCACTCATTTCATTTCGTGATGAGAAAATCGTACGAAGACAAATTAGGATCTCTCGAAAAAAATTTCTTTTTGCTTTAACCGCAATTAATTCTCTGGAATAGATAAATTTAATTTTTTCGATATAAATAATAATAATAATAATTATTATTATTATTATCTTCTTTATAGAGGAAAATTTCACTTAGACTCATCATTGCTTGTTATCATATATATTATTGTCTTTTTTTCCAACTATGCAAGTATAAAGAATGTAAAAATGCTCCACAAAAAAAATCATAAAATTCAAACGAATGTGCATATTATTTCTTCTCTTTTGTTATTTACTTTTTTACTCTTTTTTTAAAAGAAAAGGTTTATGGTCTCTCCGTGATTGCTGTTTTATAATATATTTTAGAAAAAAAAGTTTTTGAATCATATAAATAATGTGTTGAATTTTTCCGAGTGTTATTATTTATGTTTATGATGTCTTCGAATATTTATGATTTCGATGTTCTTTTGAGCACCAACCGCAAGTTTCTATGATTTAGGATTCTTTTTTTGAAAACTTATAAAATTCATATCTAAAATATTTAAAACAAGGAGGGGGTCCTTTATGTTTATTTCATAAACATTATGCTTCCTCATTGTGTGAAGCAAAAAATTCGCTTCCTCGTGAAGGAAGCAATGAATTTGTCCAATTCAATTGATTGATTTAAAAAATTTCGAGTTAAAAATGTTTTAAATTAATTAAATTTTTTGAAAAATAAAGAAAATTTTAATTAATTTTGAGTGTAACATAAACTGTATATATACGAATCGATTCGTTTTAATGCAAGGAGTACAATTATTTTATTCATCAACTTGAATTTTAAAAAAACACAAATTTTTTTAGCTAAAATATGAATTTTCGATTTTTCAATTTTTATTAATTCTCAAATTTTCAATCAAATCTATACTTTATATATACCAACCAATTCGTTTCAATGCAGGGAATAAAATTATTTCATATATAAACATGAATTTAAATAAACACATCATTTTTTAGCTAAAATGAGAATTTTTGATTTTTTAACTTTCTTTAATTCTTTAAATTTCAATCAAATCTATACTATATATATATCAATCGATTCATCTTGACATAAAGAAGACGATTATATTATATATTACCTTAAATTTTTCGATTTAAAAATTTTTTCAATTAAAAAAAAATTTTTGGAAAAAAGACGATAAAATTTTTTTTTTGGGGTATTTTTAAAAATCCTCTCGTCATTTTTGAGAGATTAATGTGTTAAATAAGCCTACCAAATTTTATCCAAATCCATTAAAACCTGTTAAAGATATCGTGTTCACAAAAACGATCCACACACACATACACACACACACACACACACACATACACACACACATACATACATCCGGACAATTGATCAGGATCTCATATAACATGTTTCTATATAGAGGAAAATTTGTTTTCACCAGTTTTAAAAAGTTTATAAACGAAAGGACTACATAGCTTCCTCCACGAGGAAGCAAAAATAATAATTTGATTTATATAAAAATTATTTGATCTAAATAAATATTAATTTGATTATGGCCAAGTATAATAACCGATTATTTGAATGGAAAATATTTTTTTTCAGTAATATTAAGTTTCATTATATATTCTTTGAATACTATTTTCTGTTGTTTAAAAAACACATTTTATATAATGGACGTTACTTGGTGAATCAAGTTTCGAATCAATCGGAAGTAGAAGATGGTTGCAATGCGAAAACTGCATGCATCATCGATCCCCCTCGACGCCATTGCGTTTTATACGGAAACTTACTCCTTGAAAATTTAGGTCATCCGTTTACATGTTCATTCACGTCAGTGATTCACTTCAAAATTCTGTTATTTTCAAATTATTTTCGGTCATAAAATTTCTTATATGTATATACATTTTGTTATGATAGTCAAGAAATGACATATTTTTTCATTTTATTTATTGAAATAAATTTAAAATTTCTTATATGTAAAACCTATCTAAATTATCATCTAATTAAAAAAATGTGATTATAAATTGTTTTCAATTAAATGAATTATCACTAAGCTTAATGTTAATTAGAAAGCTTAAAATGTCTCGCTACTTCCGAACTCTTTGTGGATTATTATATTAATGTTTCAGAAATGATACAGCAGTTGTATAATGATTTATCAGTTGATGGTGAAATGTCTATTATTATTTAAAAAACATGAAAATAACGATGATAAGACGTCAATCTTGTTTGCAACATATATATATATATATATACACACACACAAACAAGTTGTATTAATCATCACGCGCCATGTTCATTTTTTTTTTTGCTTTGTTACATACAAAAAATTAAATGCAGATGTTTGTTCATCAAACACGCAAATATATAAAAAAAATTGTCAATTTTAATACTAATTTTTGAATTTTTAAATTAATTACATTCTAGACTAAGATTACTTTTTTAATTTTGTTGTTTTCATAATATTATAGTCTAAATTTAAAACTTACATCCATAGAATTTTAAATTAAAAAAAAATTAGTTAATTATCATTAAAAGACTTGTTTTTTAAATCTTTCAAAAATCTGTTATTTTCGCGAAAATTCAAAATTAATTATCTTCATCTTTTCTCTAATAGTTCTTGAACTTCTTGTAGTGTTTTACCTTTTGTTTCGGGAATGAAGAAACAATAAGTCACTTGCAAAAACATAGTAAGAGCATAAAATCCATAGACATATTCCGCAGGTACAACATTCAAAAAATCCTGATATGTTTTACTTGAGATAAATGAAAATATTCCTGAAGTGACACTAGTAATTGATGAAGCATATCCTTTAATATCGGGTGAAAATATTTCACTGATAATTGTACATGGCACTGATATAATGCCAATACAAATAAATGATTGAAAAATAAAGAGAGAAATAATTGGTAACCATTGAATTGATTTTGGTTCAAATCCATAATGTATTAGAGCACAATCAACTGAAAGTATTATTAAAGATAAACAAATACCACCACTCGAGACACCTAATAAAATTCTTCTTCCACATTTATCAATAGCGTACATTCCAAACCATCCGGCAACAATTCCAATGCAGTTTACCATAATTACAATTGTTTTCGGTTCCATAATGTTAACTTGTGCCTCACGTAAAATAACTTCCATGTAGAACGTAATAGTATAAAGTCCACTAATTTGCATAAACGCAAATAATAAATTGGCTATTATCAATGCTTTTCTATTTTTTGGTTTACTAAATTCATCAATTATATATTTAAAGCTGAGGGGAATTTTTGTATTCACAAATTGTTTAATATCCTCTAATTCTAAAATTGGATCAACTTTTCTGTGATACCATTTAATGGAATTTTTTGCCTCATCATAATTTCCCTTTTTAGCTAAATAGTGAGGTGATTCTGGTAGTAAAAAAAAACTCCCAAGAAATATTAATGTCGGTAACATGGAAATAACAGCAGATTGCCACATTGGTAAATAAGCGCCCATTGTATTGCCAATAAGTGTTCCTATTGGTTGACAATTCATAATAAATGCAACTAGTGCACCACGAATTTTTGGATCTGACACCTCACCAACATAAAGGGGAAAGCATACAAAAAAAAATCCAAAAGAAATTCCCGATAAAAATCGTGATAAATAAATCCAAGAAACTGATTTTGCAACTGTCAATAATAGCCATCCGATAAGTTGTGGAATGCCAGCGAGAAAAGCAGTTTTTTTACTTCCTAAAGTAGCGACGCCAATTGCACCTAAAATTGCACCGAAAATTCGTCCCAAACTTAAAAGAGAAACTATCCATGAACATTCGTCGAGACTCGCCGAAAATGGTAAACCTTCTTGGCTCAATTGTGCCACATATGGTGATGTCCATCCACTTATCAAACCAATTCCCAACGATAATAGTCCGACTGCGAATAGAATTTTTATTTTCACTTTTTTCATTATGATATAGTATTTTATAATTCAGCGGGAAAAATATTACAAATTATTTAGAAAAGAGAAAACAATTTTATTTTCATACAAAAAAATTTGCCATCGGTTATTTTTCAACTTTTCTTTAATCATCTCTGTTGAGAGAAGTATATCACTTGCACAATGAGTAAATTAATTAATATAAAACAATACATATTCTTGATATAACTTCAAAAAATAAAATCGAATAATATAAAAACTGACAAAAGCAGAAATGGAAAATTTTCAAATAAAATTTAAAGGTAAAATTTGTTAATTAATATAATTGTTTTCACATTTTATTTTTTATTAATGAAACTGCCAAAAAAGCAGATTAACCAACCATTGAAAAAATTGTTTAAATATTGAACTTTTTTTTAACTTAATTTGAATTATTAAATTTTTAAATTATGAAAATAGAAGAAAATTAAAATAATAACTTTTCTTTTCACTCACCTTCAATAGCAGCAATCCAATATGGTAATTTTGTGTGTTTCGTTAAGATATTTTCAATTCCTCGCAACATTTTTTTTGACAGGTCAATTTTATTTCCTCTACTTCTGTTTCGGTCAATGCAAGGCAAACGTCTTTGGAAACGATCACTGAGAAACTGTAGACATTAAGTAAAATGATCTCTATTTCATATTAACAAAAAAAAGTTTCGGGGACGATAAGATAAGCGTGGTAATGAATTTTCTAATGAACCTCCTATTGCATCACATATTTTATATCCCGATGTGCATAATTTCTCTTACTTCATTGTTTACGACAACTTGCTGTTTTTGAAATATTTTTTTTTCACGTCCGTCTCTTATTTCCGTATATAGATTTCTTATTTTTGTTCTTCACACACAATTATCTCATGTACTGAAAAGAAATCTTTTTTTTTTTTTGCTTATTTTGAAACTGCAAAATCATTTAGAGAGCTAATGTGTGAAAACGAGCACCTTTAAGACATTTTTTATGGTACTCGTCATTCAGGTGGACATCAGGAAAAGAAATAAGAAAAGCATTTTGGTAGAAAGGTGTTAGTGTCAGGTTTTAGTATATATAAAGAGAACATGAAATCGCATTCGTGTGGATAATCGTTTTTTGAAGGTGCCCATTCGTTCGGGAATAAAACGACAACGAGGAGGATTTCCAAAGTGTTCAAGAACATCTATCACATTCACACACAATGCAAAGACACGTATTTATCGAACTTACGAACATATCTTTAAAGACGAAGAAAGTTCGTTTTACACCTCACATTATAATAATGTTCATCCTATTGCTGCATTTCAGACTTTATCGATTAATTTTTCCACACCCCTCATATTTTTCTTTCAATACTTCTTTTCTTTTTCTAAATTTACATATTGTAATGTAAAAAAAGGAAATTTTTATTACACCTTATAAAAAAAAAATATTGCCTTTAACAATTTTTACAGGTTTATGAACTGATTCTCGCGATCATTCATGAGTTTGATTTGTTATTTCATAATATTTCTTATATATACTGCATGACAGAGCTAAAGATTTATCTGTTTAAACTTATATATGGCAATGTCAACAATATATGATTACAGAGTCATATTTATTTAATATGTCTTAAAAGTCTTTTGCAAAGATTTTAGGAAATTAATTATAACGGAATAGAAAAAATTTCAAATTCTAGAAAAATATTTCCACAGAAAAAAAACTAATAAATAAATTGATAATAAATATAGAACAAATAAATTAATATTTTATAAAAAAAAATACTTTTTGAAATTAAAATATTTCGTGATATATGAAAATAAAACTTTTCTTTTTTCTATAAAACTCAATTCCAAGTTGAAAATTGTGATTTTTAAGGCATTGAAATTTAAAAATTCATTATTAAAAGTTTGCGAAGTTGTTGTATCTACATTACACTCTGAAAGAATTGAAATTTTCTCGCTCTTTTTGCAAATGTCGCATTTTATTGTTATATTATAAGAATTTTCTCGGCAAAAATATTTCCAGTATTTTTTTTTCAAAAAAAAATATTATATTATAATTACTGCAAAAATTCTTATTAAGAATATTAAAAGAATATTAAAACTCTCATTTTTTTAAATTTAACAAATATACATAATATACATTATGTCCATTGACTAATTATTAGCATAATTGATTCTAATTGTACATCAGAGAATTTGTACTAATAATTTAAATAACCAATAGTAATTAATTGACAATAATTATAAATCACCTGTATCAATACTAATTAATCAATAGTAATTAATTGACAATAATTATAATAAATCACCTTTATCAATATTGTCAGTTACTATATTCGTTTATTATATATGTAGCGAAATTGACCTTTGAATTATAGTAATTATAGTCTTGCCAATTTGTAGCAAAACAGGCTCGAAATGATTTTAAGATTTTTCTACCTATATTAACGGAATAACAAATCGGAAAATTCGACTATTCTCTTAATAGAGAAGAATTATCATTATTATCATTAAAATATTTAAAAGTCGTTTTTTCTTGAAAAAAGGAATTTTTGAACTTGAGAAGAAAAAAAGAGACGTGAAGTAAAATTCGGGATTTTGTCGGAAAGATTAATGATTTCGTAAGTAGTTCTAAAGACGAGAATATAATTTCACACTCTCACCAACATTGAGTGTCCCGCAGGCAAACTGTAAAATAAAACTTATCGTAAAGGAAAATATATCTTTGAGAGATGAAAGAGACATCATCTGCAAAGACTCGCGTTTGCGTCTCTCACCTTTTACGATTCCTACGAGACAAACACGTGTAAAAATTGTTTTTTGTTTATAATATATATTCCAAGTATTCCACTTTCCTATTATATATCCCTTTAGTTAATCAAATCTTTAAAAAAAAATTTTCTATTATATTTTAAAAGTTATTTTTCTTTAATTTTATGAATATTTTTTTTTAACAAATTTTATTGGCTCCTTATGTATTATGATGATTAATAACATCGCTCTAATTTTTAGTTTCTTAAGTACACTTAGAATTATTATCTTTTTATATTAGACAATATAATAAAACCAAAAAGTGTTACACTTGCGGGAAAAAAAATTATCAGTTACTAAAAATTATATCCAAGTTTTATTTTTAAACATCTAATTATAATTTGTATTATATATACTTTATAAAAAAAGTATATATGTATTTTTTTAAAAGTATGTTTATATATTTTTTTCGCATTAGTAAATATATATTTATATAATTAGTTTCTAATATGACAAGCTCACCAATTGAATTCAATTAAACGTGCCAACAAGCACTTAATTATATTGAAACTAAGGCGCAAGCAAGGATGTTTCCTCAAAAGCTCAATATACCTATAAGCAAGACTTGATCAAATATTGAACTTTGAAAATGGATCAGAATTTCTTGTTTAAACACCACACATTCAAAGGAAATCGAATAATCATTAAACTAGTTCAAAAACAATTCATTAAAATATTTAATGACATTTTTTATTGTCTCAATGTATAAAAAGCAAAAAAAAATCTTGCACTATTTCTATAAAGCTATTGTGAGTTTCTTTTTTTTATGACGTTATTTTAGTGCGTATTTATTTAGCGTTTTGAAAAAGCCGCAGCTGTCGTAAATTCTTACGCCAAAACGGAAAAAGAATATTTGCTTCCCCCCTCTCATATATATATAGGTCAGAATGTAGTCTGTCAAATTTTCTAGTAGAATAAATATATTACTATAGAAAAATAAATATGTATGCGCAAAAAATTTCATATTATTTCAGAGAGTTTGGGCTTTCTATTGTATTTTACATTCTTAACAATCTTTTTATTAAAACAAGTGTGTGAGGCACATAAAAATGTTCTGTACATGAGACAATTTCATAATAAGTTTTTACTCTTTAATTTATTTGATAATTATTTGCTGTTATTTTATATAAATGTATATTTCTGTTACAGGTGAGCTTTCAGTTCGATATTGTTATGAATCTCAAGTGAGTGTTACAAAATGAAGAATTACAATATTCAAGGTAAATTTTAAGAAACAAAACATAGATATATAGTTACTAAAGTAATTAATAATTTTGACATTTAAAGTAAGACAAAAACTATATATGTTACCGGCAAAACCCGAAATACCTAGGCAATTCTCGAATTGCCTAAGGTTTTCAGGTATTATTCGAATTTCCTGGCGATTCATAGGCATTTCGGGTTTTACCGGTAACATATATACAATAAGAGATTTGATCGATGCAGGTACTACATTCTCTTATATGAACAAATTTATAAATATAGTTATAAGTCAATTTTATCGCTCTTCTCAGAAATTATTAAGTAACTGATTTAAAAATAGATTTCAACATTTTATAGATATTTATTTTTAGTCACAGTATGAAATAGTATATACAGAAATTACTTTATATATCAGTTTCTTTTAGATAATTATCGCTAATTAGCATTATCAAAAAAAACTTCAATTTTTGGTTCTTTATGAAACACATATAATTGTACATAGATAATTTCTTTATAAAGTGTCTATTATTTAGGTGAGCTTAACTACTTCACATTCTTGATATTTACCTGTGATTGCGTCAGCATCATTACTTATCTCGCTTGAGATATCGAGACTCATATTATATGTACATATATATACCTATATATAATTTTATAGTTTTCTTTTAAACTGTAAGTTCAGGAAGAAAAAACATTTTTTCAATTCGAATGAAAAGTAGCATTATTTTTATTAAAAAAAATTTTGAAAATTATTTTCAATAAAAAAAATATTCATTTTAGATTTTTTACTCGTAGGAAAAAAATTTGTTGTTTTTATTTTTTCATCGTTTCTTGAAACTTAGTAGCTTGAATGATTAGGTTTCTTTTTGTCTTGAAGAATCTGAAGAGATATTTACGACAGTGCGACGCCTGTAGCTGGTGTAGAGAAGCCTTTTCCGTTTTCTCTCGTGGGGCACCAAGTCTCGAGTGCAACTTGAAAACTCGTTCTAGAGAAGTTGGGTGACTTTGGCTTCTAGTTTGCGATATTGAGAAATTACCGATTCTTGCTTTTTTTTATCGTGCCAGACTCATAATATTGCTCCATTATTAAATTTTATATTTGCTTTATATATATTTTTTTTTCTTTTTTGAGAAACAAATGTAAGTTCAATGTGATGTTTATTATTATTTTTTTTTGAGAAATTTCGATACGATTCGTGGATCATGTTCCGCTTGAAATTTAAATAAGGGCTTTCAAGGAGGCGTATATCATTCCCCGAGGACGTGACTCCAAGAGTGTATTTTTAGTTCGTATTTGTAAAACTTTAAAAGTTGATGGAAACAGGAATTTATGATGGAAGTCAATTTTTTGTTTTTGTTTAAAAAGAGTATATGATAATGCAATTTTCAAAAGCAATACACAATACATTTTATATAATAAATTATTTAAATATTTTAAGGGGTTGTTCAAAAAATGCGTAATGCTTTTTTGAGATTTCAACCCCCCCCCTCCCCCATGTAAGGCTCTATTGCATACATTAGCGCAATTTCTTCTGCTGACCATAATAACATTTGTGGAGAGATTTCTTAAATTTCTGAATTACCGATCGTTAAAAGATTTTCTATTTTTATGTAAATATCTAAATTATCGATCGTGAAATGTCTCGATACTTAACTAGCACTTAGTGTTTGGCGCTGCTGCTACTGCGACAAGAAGAATGAAAAGAAGCATACTTCTTTTTTATAATGAAACTAAAATAATTGAATTGAAAGAAGTGTGGAAACAAATTTCAACTTTTCTGAAAAGTTAGTGTCGCACTGTATAAGACAAAAAAAATATAACTTTCAGAATAGTTAGATCTATGCAAATTTTCGGAATGCTTTATTTGTTTTGCGCTAGTTTTAATTCAAATTTCGATGGAACTCTGATAAGTACGTTTTTTTAATTAGAAAAAAAGAATTTCATCAAACGAATTCTTTTTCTGTAATTAATATTATTATTATTATTAATATATTTATCATTTTAGTTTAAAATTTTTATATACGTTTGGAGGAACTATAATAGAGACTCTCCAGTTGCAAATTGCAGATATCTTAAGTCGAAATGTAGACGCTAATATCTGTCTATTCAGCGAAATGTGTCAATTCATCTCTCGGTATAGAATGGTCCACTTATATAAGGAACCAGAACCCTCTCGTGATATGGTCATTCCACTTTAACTATATCCTGTAACTTCCGACCCGCATCTCATTGCGAGAGAGAAAGAGATATCTGTATTTAAGAAGAACGAGGTGCGGACGATGTGGAGATGGCTGCGGTAGCGAAGGTGGTATAGTGGGGGAGGAGGATTTCGAATAGGAAGAGGGTAGCTGAAGGGGGAGGGATCGGATGCTGCTGATGCGGGGTCAGGGATGCTGTAGCTCTCGCAAGGGTGGAAAAGGGGCGATGCCGGCAGTGAGCGAGTTTCAGCCACCCTGAA